TGCCCCATGCAATATTTGAGATATACATATACTAGGAACTCTAGTCTTCTTAAATTAAAACTTAACTGGGTAATGTATATTCTATCTGACTACCAATACTCCAAGCACCTGCCCTCATATAAGGAGTCTTCTTCACCCACAAAGAACATTATTTTGCATAAGTTAAAGATTGAAACCATCTCTCTCTCTTTCTCTCTCTCTCTCTCTCTCTCTCTCTCTTTCACACACACACACACACACACACACAAACATACACACACACACACACACACACACACACACGAACTGGAAGTTGAATGTTATACCTGCTAAAATTACAAGTGTATCTCCACAGTCTGGTGCCCCCAAGTCTGCAAAGACTAGCACTGTGGCATGGTGGTGAGTCCAGGTTTTGCAGTCATGACTAGCCTGGGTTAGGGACTATTTTCTAAAACGGTAGTAGGCCCACCTTGCAGGATTGTTGTAGGGCGAATCTATAAAGTGCTTGGTACATAATAGGTATTCAACAGTAAATTATCTGCATAATGTCTGGCACATGATGAATTCTATAAATGTGCTGTGAATGAATGAATACTGCAAGGTGCAAGCCAGGAACCCGCAGACCACATTGAAGGCAACCTCTGCTCAGCCCCTAAATACACATCCCCCTGATGGTTTTAAAGCCATGTACATACTCCTGGGAACCGCTCCAGGTCTTCAGAATCAGAAGGAACGGGGGTGTAGGGCCCAGGCATGGGGTGTTTATCAAGCTGCTTAGCAGAGCGGATGTGCAGCCAGGCTTAAGAACCACATATCCAATTCTTGGAGGAGCTCTTTGTCAGGAATCCTCTCCTGTTCAAAAGTGGTTCTCAATCTCTACCAAATCTCAGAAGCCCTGGAGAGCTTGTTCAAACCGATTGTTAGGCTCTCTACCCCCAGAGTTTCTGGTTGTGGTTGAAGGGCAGGGAGCTGAGAATTTGCCTATCTAACAAGTTGCCAGGTGCTGCTGACCTGCGGTCTGGGGACAATTTAAAAACCACTGCATATTATAATCACTAGCAGTGTTTTTTATACATAGACTTGGGCCCTAGGGAATCATATTTAAATAGTCTGGGGTGGGTGTGGAGGCAGCTGAGTGCCCCATAATTCTAATGCACCCAGGTCAGGAACATCTGCTCTCCTTACCTGAACTCTCTGCTCTCACAGCCTGTACGTCCTGAGACCAGCAAGGAGGGCGTCACAGGGGCTCCTTAGAAACTCGGTCTCTCAGGCCCACCCCAGACCTGTGGAATCGGAATCTGCACTTTAACAAGACCCCCAGTGAGTCCCATGCACATTGAAGCCTACACGGAACTTCTCAGAGAAAACTTCTTCAGCACCTTTGAGAGGGTGGGTCTGCAGAGCTCCCAGGTTGCAGAGAGAAACAGAATTAGCAACTCTCAGCTCTTCCCTTTAGCCAAACAGGTAGCCAAGCATTTTGCAGAGCACACAGTAAAGAAATAAAGGCTTCCATGGACATTACTTGATTGCCCTGGAGTTAAGTACAGAGGCAGATTTTTATTTTGGTTATTTTGAATTTTTATGAGTTTATTTGAGCCAAACTGACAATATAACGCCAGGAAGCAAGATCTCAAATGTCCCAGAGAGTAAGTTTTGCAGCTTTTTCTGTGCATTTGAAATTACAGGATTGTTAATGAGATTATGTGCTTTCTTGAGGGTGATGATTTCAAAAGGTGGGTTAACCTAGATGCACAGAAACAATGGACAGAGCTTGCTCGAGGCAAAGACAAACCTTTTATTAAAACATTAGGCACCTGGGACATGACTTCCCACCATGGCCTGTCCAGTTAGGAATTTATTGTTGCCTTACATAGAATTTCTTTTCTTTTTTTGTCCATAATTCACCCTTTTGGTAATAAACCAATCTGAATGGTGCATCATTGACCAACCTTTTGGTGGGATTGTGTGGTCTCCCAGCACTAGGAAGGCTCAATCCTAGGAAGTCTCAATATGGATGTTGTCTTGTTGATCATTGTGAATGGGGAAATACTGTTACCATGGGATCTGAATTGAGGCAGAATTTTCCCCAAACAGGAAGGGCAGGTAAGTGGAAGGCAGTCAGCCACAAAGCAAGAATTTTAAAGGGTTATAAGTGAACATCCATGTGCTAACAGTGTAGAACTCTCAGCAGTGACTTTCCAAAATTTCAGAGAAGACCCCAGGCCAGCACAGACCTCCCTTACTTACTTGGTCTGGTCCTGGACAGAGGTTGTTACCAGTACTTATAGGTGTGATGTATACCTATTATTGTGTACGGATTATAGATTTTCTATTCCAAAATGAGGACTCAGTCATTCACCCCTCCAGACATTGTAAAGTACTTGGGCTAAAAGGACCCTAATGGTGTAATATTATCAAGATTCTAGACTCAGAGCACAAAAGTCAAACAGGATCATGTTGGCAAAAATTTTAAAGATTAGTAATATTGAGTATTGCCAAGGGTGTGAGGAATAAGGCCCTCATATCCTATTGTGAAAGTGTCCACTGATGAAAACATTTTGGAAGGCAATTTGGAAAAATCCCTCAAAATTTTTTAAATATTTGTGTTGATTTCAGAGATGAAGGAAGAGGGAGATAGAGAGAGAGAAACATCAATGATGGGATAGAATCATTGATTGGCTGCCTTCTGCACACCCCACACTGGGGATTGAGCCTGAAACCCACACATGTGCCCTTGACTGGAATCAAACCTAAGACCCTTCAGTCCTCAGGCCAATGCTGTATTCACTGAGTCAAACCAGCTGAGTCAAACCAGCCTCAAAATGTTAAGCATGCATAAGCTATGATCCACACTCCCACAACTATAAATGTAGCAAATTAAATATTAGATGACATACATAAAGATGTTATAATGGTGTACTTTGCACCATTATTTCTATTTTTATTTTTTTAACATATTTTTCTTGATATTCAGAGAGGAAGGGAGAGGGTGAGAGAGATAGAAACATCAGTGATGAAAGAGTATCATTGATCAGCTGCCTCCTGCATGCCCTGTATGGGTGATCAAGCCCGAATCCTGTGCATGTGCCCTTCACAGGAATTGAACCCACAGGCTGACACTCTATCCACTAGAGCCAAACCAGCCAGGGTTATTTCTACTTTTAAAAAAATGGAAGTAAGCTATAGGCTTATCAAGAAAGAAATGAATAAATTAGTATAATGTAGTTTTCTCATCTATTTAAAGATTAGGAACTCTATATATTCACACATGAGTGTGTGCATGGATGTGTGTATGTGTAGTATGACTCTATTTCTATTTTTTAAAATTGTATACATTCATATATATGAAAAAATCTGGAAATGCACAATACACCCACAAGTCTGTAAGCAATGATTGCTTTTAGGAAGTGAGACTAGAATTGGGGAAGTATATATCACTTTTTCTACGTACCCATTTACAATTTTTGAATTTGTTATAATAAGTAGGTGTTATTTTTATTATTTAAAATATATTTCAAACGGGTAAAAAAATGACTTAGGATTGTTTTTTTTTTGTTTTTTTTTTTTCTGGGTGTGTTTCCTCACTTTAACACATTTAGTTATATGTTTCAAGCTTATTCATTAAACATAATACAATATGCTCTATTTGATTAAATTTTGGCTTTCTTAGAAAAAGCCTAACCAGCCTGGATCCTTTGAGATTAATCCAGGAAACTGATTGGCTTCTGGGTACTCCAAAGGGGTCTTGATTTTATTCAATACCAGGTCCTTGAAACCATATTTGTGTGTTTCAGTCCCTGCCCTTTGAATAATATTGCCTCTTATGAAGTGTGTGGTTAACCAAACCCTAGACTTCTTTTTTTAAAATTGCTGCTAGCCTGGCCGGTGTGCTCAGTGGTTTTTGGAATCAAGCCCAAGACCTGGGCATATGCCCTAAGTAGGAATCAAACCACGACCTCCTGGTGCATAAGTCAATGCTCAACCATTGAGCCACAATGGCCTGGCTGAACTAGGTATTTTAATTTTGGGCAGATTACTCAATTTCTTCACGTCCTATTCTTCTCACCTATAAGGTGGCAAAAATAGTCTTATTAGGTAGTTGTAGACATTAAATGAGATTATCTATCAGGCTTCCTAGCTCTTAGCAAGCATTTCACAAATGCCAACTCTCTTTGTTAATATTATTATATCATTATCAATATGAAGAAGTAAATCTGTACTGGTGTCATGAAAGACAGTGCGTTGGGACATAACACACCCATGTTTCAACCTTATTTTTGTGTATAATATATGCAAGATACAGGGTAAAATATAGCCATCCTGTAGCTGAGCACCTTGAGTGTGGGAACACTGCTTATCCCACGTCCTGTGAGCACCTGAAAAGTTGTACAAGGAGATGCTAAGCACACGGCTCTCTGGAAATGTCAGCCTTAGTGTACGCGGGTGGGAGGCGAAAATGCTGTAGAGAAACAGTCCTTTTGCTTAAAATAGAAATTTTGAAGGAAGCCAAATTAATACATGACAAGTTATTGACTCTCCAGTTCTTCCTGAACGAAAAGAAAAGAAAAAAAAAAAGTGAAAGAAAAAAGGAGAATTGCTGTTACTGAAGATCACGTTTCCTTTTCGGTGGAATTCTCCAGCCAAGCTTGGCATTCACCGAGTAGGCGATTTCACTTCATCACTTCACAAAAGACTTCCAAATTCACTGCTGCGGCAGACACGGCAAAGTAAAAAATGTTAAATACATCCTGGCGGGGAGGGGACTGAAGCCTCCACGCTCAATCAAAGGTTTGCAGTAATAGGATTCATAAAAAAAAAAAAAAAAAAAAAAAAAAGACAGATGGGATTAGAAAATGTTGCCGTGAAGACTGAGACGAGATGAGCTCACAGCACCAGCCTGCCTTTTGTGGACCTGCACACAATGCTCCCCCAGCCAGACTGGGTTAGGAAACCTCGCAACTAGGGGTTGACAGAGAGGCCCTCCCGTTCTCGGGCGCGCGAGGGGAGAGAAGGCTGGCAGGATGCATCAGATTTATAGCTGCAGCGACGAAAACATAGAAGTGTTCACCACTGTGATTCCTTCCAAGGGTAAGTGAACTTGTCCTTGACTGTTCCCTTCGCGAGGCACCTTGTGCTGGAGGGAGGGGGCCGGCAGGTGCTGTTTGACTGAGGTTCCCCCATCCTCCCCCATCCCAGGTCTCTGGACCACTTCTTGGATTTGATGGTATGTATTGTTGTTGTTGTTTTTGAAAAGGAGGCACCTGGATAAACACCCATCGTGGAGAAAAATCCAGGGGGGGGGGGGGAAGAAGGGCAGTTAAATATTCCTGTTTCACTTTAAAATACTGCAGCCCACCTCGCCAAACCAAAGCGACAGCGAGCCATGTTGAGAGGAGGCAGAGGTGAAAGCAAAATTCCCTGAGCAGCTAGGTAGATCCTTTCTTCTTCTCCGGTGAGCAAGTGGGTCCTGAAATGAGAACCAGCTGCCTCCCAAACCTGATTTCTAGCTGTGCAGGGAGATAGAAATACTCCCCTCCGGGACCCCAAGTCCAAGGAAGTGGTCACATAATGCCCTCACCCTGGCTGGCCTCCCTCCAGACCCCAGGGCCACGCTCTCACACTTAACCTGGAACCAGCGCCACCCAGACGTGTGACTTTGTCAGCCCTCCACCCTCTGCCCTCCGAGGCCAATGGTGTCAAGTCGAGGGAGGGGCTTCCAGCGAGAGCTCAGATGATGGCAGGTGTCTGTGGATGGAACAGGTCCCCTGACCCCTCCAAAGCTCTGTCCTCCCTCCTGCGGCCCCTGCTCTCTCCCCGCAGCCCCTGCCGTGCTGGCAGAGTCTGGGAGCTCCCGCTGAGCCCTGGCCTCATTGTCAGACTTGAATGAAACGGGCTGGGTGTTGGCTGGTGGTGTGACCCCTGTTCAAACAATTCCTTTCTTCTTCTTCTTCTTCCCTGGGCCCTTGCTGGAGGGGGTGGGGTGTAGGGGAGACGCTCGGCCTGGCCACAGACAGCCAGCGGGACGTAAAGGAAGCTTTAGACATCTATTGCCAAGGTGCCAGAGAGAAAAGGAGCTAGGGGTCAATCCACAGGCAAGGGTCGGCACTCTCTCTGGAGCCTCTGAAAGGGGCGTGGAGAGGCAGGATGGCCAGGACCTCTGGCCCAGCGGCTCCTCTGCTCCCTCAGACGCAGGTGCTCACGGAGGCACTGATGCTCTGACAGCGAATCTGAAAAGAACCTAAGTGTCCTTGAAGAGGGGAAGGGATAACACGTGGTGTCATCACGCTATGGAATACTCAGCCCAGTGATGATCACTATACCTACTTAGAGAAAATAGGACTAACTTTCAGAAGTCTGGGCATTTTTTTTTTTTTTTTTTTTTTTTACCTTTCATACACTATGGAATACTCCACAGTCATCCACAGCGATGAGCTAAATCTGCGTGTATGGACATAGGTCTTGAAATAGCGTGTTGAGTGGGGAAAAAAAAACAAAAAACAGGCTGAACATGTATATATGTATGATAACAAGGATTAAGGTTGGAAATATAAAACAATACCAAATATTGTTTATGGGTACATATGAAAAAGGTGTGAAAACATAGGCTGGAAAGATACGGATAAACTCGGTGATGTTAGTATCCCTAGGGAGGGAGGGAAGACAGAGGGGACCTAAACTTGCCCTCTAACTTTTTATCACTTTTATATGAGAAGGAAACAAATTGGAAAGAAGTGTTAGTATGTCTGTTTTCTGTCTCTCTTTTTTTTTTTTTCCATTTAAAAAATGTTTAAAGGGAGAAAAAAATCAAAGCCATATGGCTCTTTTTAATTAAAAGTTATTATGCAGTTCAGGAGCAATATCATACTTCCCATGAATAAAATTATTCAAAACAGGGCCTTTAGCCAAAATTGGTTTGGCTCAGTGGATAGAGCATCAGCCTGAGGACTGAAAGGTTCCAGGTTAGATTCCAGTCAAGGGCATGTACCGTGGTTGCGGGCACATCCCCAGTGGGGAGTGCGCAGGAGGGAACTGATCGATATTTCTCTCTCATTGATGTTTCTAACTTTCTATCCCTCTCCCTTTCTCTCTGTTAAAATATATATATCAGGGCCTTTGGCTTCATGTGCTTAGCATAGTGACCAAAAACTGCTACCTCTTCTGCACTGTGTGGCCTAGGGCAGGCTACTTAACCTCTCTGGGCCTGAGTTTTCACTTTTGTAAAAGAGAGAACTAGAACTCACCTCCCAGGGTTATGATGTGGGAAGGGCGAGTATGAGATATAGAGAAATTATATAAAGCATCTAGAACAGCCCCTGGCATAACATGAGCACCATTAAATACATCACGTACAACGTGATTCCATTTTTATTCCATACTTACAACCATGAATATGTTAGGTCAAAGATAAATTATTTAATCCCATATTTCTTTCATGCCGTTTTTATTCACAGCCATCTCATGATTTTAAGCCATGTATTTGTCGGTATTTATGCACATTTCACTGCTTAGGAAGTCATTGTCTAGAAAAGGAGTATTTGGTCGAAGCCGGTTTGGCTCAGTGGATAGAACGTTGGCCTGCGGACTGAAGGGTCCCGGGTTCGATTCCGGTCAAGGGCGTGTATCTTGGTTGTGGGCACATCCCCAGTAGGGGGTGTGCAAGAGGCAGCTGATCGATGATTCTCTCTCATCGATGTTTCTAACTCTCTATCCCTCTCTCTTCCTCTCTGTAAAAAATCAATAAAATATATATATTTTTTAAAAAGAAATAAAATGAGAATTGGTAGTTTATATGAGACCAGAAGTGGGAGAAGTCTGCCTCTTCCTTCTTCTTGGTTTGCATCTTGCTTCTCTAAAGCCTTAAGGCAGAGGTCCGTCGGTGAGAGAAGACAGTGCAAAAATATAGTTTGTTTTGATTTCATCTAACAAGGGTTTATAGCCCTCCTTGATTTGCCCTTTCCCAAATGCTAGTGTTTAGCCCTGCTTATTCAAGGGGCAAAGACCAAAACATTTTCAGAGCACAAGTTCAGCCTCATGGGCAGTGCTTGTGGTTAAGAGTATAGGCCTTGTCCCACCATCGACTACATGACCACAACCCGCAGTATCCCCGTCTATAAAATGGGGAGTATCTATGCCCTCGTCGAGTAGCTCAGTTGGTTACAGCATTGTCCCAATATGCCAAGGTTGTGGGTTCAATCCCTGGACAGGGCACATACAAGAATCAGCCAATGTATGCATAAATAAGTGAAACAATAAAATTTATTTCAGGTGCTCTTCCTCACAGAGTTGCTGGGAATGTGAATGAGATATGGCAAATAAGCCATCCACTTAATAAAACTTCATGGGGAGTTATCACATTTATTTTTTTAAAATATATTCTTATTGATTTCAGAGAGGAAGAGAGAGGGAGAGAGAAACATCAATGATGAGAGAGAACCACCGATTAGCTGCCTCTTACTGGAGATCAAGCCCGCAACCCAGGCATGTGCCCTTGACCAGAATTGAACCTCGGAGCCTTTAGTCTGTAGGCTGATGCTCTATCCATTGACCCAAACTGGCCATAGCTAGTGTTGCATTTATTAATGTTGTATTATATCCCTCTTTCCAACACACATGTATTGGGTTCAACCTAATAGTGATTTTTTTTAATTTTAATTTTTTTTTTTTTTTAGCTGAGCCATCTTAATACCTCACAAAAATGTTATGGCATTTCTTAAAGTATTTTAAAGGCACTTAAGTATTTTATGGCCACAGCAAATATTATGGAGTGTTTTAAATAGTTTAAAGGCACTGGACATAAAACAAGTTTGTAACTAAGGACAAGTTCATCTTTTTACTTTCTAGAGAAAGAAAGACCTTTCAGGGAAAGGCTTCAGAGCCACAATTCACAGTAAATACAAAAGATAAAAACTGTGGTTTTACCAAGAAGCTATACCAGCAGCTATTTCCTGAGGCACACTACACTGGGCTTCATTCTGGGGTAAACAGTACCAACAGCGTTCAAAATAACCTGCTTGGAGATACACAATGATGGGGAAGGATTAGTTAGTGAGGGAAAAGGGGAAAGAGGAAATGGAGAAAACCCCAGAAAGAGATACTCTAATGGAATGCTATGGTCTCTACAAGTCATCACCTATTCCTCCCACTAACCCTCATCTTACAGAGAAAGAGGAAAATTATAACAATCACTACTAATACCTGGGAACTTACTCTTTGACAGATGGTAGGCCAAAGGCTTTATACGAGTACAAATCAGTTTATTTAATCCTTACCGCAGCCCTCGGAGGTGGGTGTTATTACCCCTAATTTACAGATGAGGAACGTGAGGGCTTAGAGAGGATGAGTAATTTGCTCAAGTCTCGTAACTGCAAGCGGTCAAGTTCAGATCCGCACCCAAATGAAAGGAGTGGGTAGCCCTGGCTGCTGGCTGTACGCTGGGCGGTGGGTGTCAGGGCTGCACAGTGCTCCTCTGGTCACTCACCTGACAGGAGACAAGAGGTCATTTCAGAGGTAGGCAGGGCGTGAGAGGGTGGGATTTCGGTTCCCAGTAAATTACTCTAGAGGTAACGTAGAAGAGAGATGCTTAGGTGTCTCCATTTTCAACAAAATGCACACCTTTTCTCAACCAACTAATTTTTTTTGTGTGGTTAATTGATTTTTTTTTAAGCTTTTTATGTGTGTGGTAAAATATACACACTAGGTAACTTACCATTTAACCATTTTTAAGTATACAGTTCTGTAACAATTCGAAAATTAAGATTGGAGTGTAACTATCACCACTCTTCAGAACTTTGTCATCATTTCCAGAACTTTGTCATCATTTCTAACAAACTCTGTACCCATTAAACCAGTGATTTTCAACCTTTTCTTCTCATGGCACACATAAACTAATTACTAAAATTCTGCGGCACTCCAAAAATATATATATATTTTTGCCAATATGACAAAAAATAGCTATAGTTTTTGATGATTTACAAAAATAATAATTAATCATAATAGGAATTACCTACCCTTTTTGCTCCAAAGTGACTTTTTAAAGAATCTGGTGCCACCAAAACCAGTTTGGTTCAGTGGATAGAGCGTCAGCCTGTGGACTGAAGGGTCCCAGATTCGACTCCAGTCAAAGGCATGTACCTTGGTTGTGGGCACATCCCCAGTAGGGGGTATCCAGGAGGCAGCTGATCGATGATTCTCTCATAGATGTTTCTAACTCTCTATCCCTCTCTCTTCCTCTCTGTAAAAAAAAAAATCAATAATATATATATATATATATATATATATATATATATATATATATATATTAAAGAATCTGGTGCCTAAATCCTATATAATAAAGAGCTAATATGCTAATTAGACCAAACAGTAGAACAACCGTCCTGACGACCTTCTGGGTGAAGCCGGGGCTGTGAAGGCCGAGCCCCTTGCACAAATTTCATGCATCGGGCCTCTAGTTTGTATATAAGGATTTCTGGTACCAAGAATTAACCAATCAGATGCAACCTTATTATTCAATGGGACCAAGAAGATGCAACTCTATTATATGACCTATATATTTATGGTTCAATACAGGGCATTCTTGGAGGGTGTAGGGATTGAGGGGGGAAAAAAAGAATAAACTAAAAATAAATGTTTAAAAGAAAGAAAAATCTCATGGACACAGACAACAATGTGGTAATTGTCAGGAGGACAGAGGGTAAGGGGAAGTGGAAGGGGATAAATGGGATATTGTACACAATACAGTGTATAGATGATGTGTTGTGGAATTATGCACCTGGAACCTGTGTTTTTTGTTAACCAGTGTCACCCCAATAAATCAATAAGAAAAAAAAGAGAGGGGGCATTCACACCAGATGACTGTTGTCGTTTTTTCACTTAACAATCTAAGGGAAAAGAGGTCACTGCTCTTGACTAAAATAATCATGTATAACATGTTTTGAAAGTTCTTGTGGCACACCAGTTGAAAAATCTCTGCCTTAAACAATAACTCTCTATTTCTCATTTCCCTGCCCCTGGTCACCTCTATTCCACTTTCTGTCTTTATAGATTTGATTACTCTAGGTATCTCATATAGTGGACTCATACAGCATTTGTCCTTTTGTGTCTGGCTTATTTCACTCAGCTTAATGTCTTCAAGTTTCATCTATGTTGCAGCATGTATTAGAATTCGATTTTTTTTTTCTTGAGGAAGAATAATATTCTACTGAATGTATAGACCACATTTTATTCATTTACTCGTACCTGGTGACGGACATTTGGGTTGTGTCCACCTTTTGGCTATTGTGAATGATGCTGCTGTGTCAGTGCACTCTACCAAGTATCATCTAAAATTGCAGTTGAACCTGTCTCTTCTTCCCAGTTCCCATCCTCAGCCCCTCCCTCACTCCAGGTGCAAACCCACTTAGTTTTGTTATTGTAGCTCAATGTTTCCCAAAGTGTGGTACTCATACCTCCAGGGGTACGGGAAGAGTTTGGTGGGGGTACACGTTACACCTGAGTTTGGTGGGGATATGCACTGCACCATGCTTAGCTGCGCCTAATTCTACATTCTCATGAGTACAGGGGGTACTCAGCGTTACAAAAATTATAGAAGGGGTACACATTTGTCAAAAGTTTGGGAAACACTGCTCTAAAACCGTTCTCTAAAACCATTCCTTTATCTCTCTTCACAGTGTCCAGTCCAGCCAGAAGAAGAGTCAAAAGCTCTCAACACCTCTTGACCAAGAATGTAAGGAAACTTCAGTTTTGATCTCTTCGTTGACTTTTATTTAAAAAGCATTGTCTAGCTTCTTCTCTCTCTCTCTCTCTCTCTCTCTCTCTCTCTCTCTCTCTCTCTCTCTCTCTCTCTCTCTCTCTCCTGTTCTCCATATAACCAGGAAGGTTTCCTGCAGCCCATCTTGTTGTCACTGCATTCTTCCACCTCCACAAAATTGACAAATGTCAACCAGACAGGACACAGCTCTGAATTGGAACCCTCAATTCTGCCATTTTTCCCAGACACAGAGAGCAAATCTCATTTTGTATCTATTGTGGGTTTTTTTCTTATTTAAATGGAATCCATGACTTGGGTACAGCACCCTAACCTAAGTATTCTCCTATTATTGGCATTTGTAATGTTCCATCCCCCCCCCCCCGCTATTATAAATAGCAGCAAAATACTATTTTTTGGATTAATTCTTTGGTGAATAGGCCTCAAAGTAGAATTAACAAGTAAAAGGATAAGAATAGTTTCATCTATCTATCCATCTACTCTTTCATCTATTCAAATATTTGCATTCCTATTATGTGTAAGAGACACTGAGCTATGTGGGGAGAAATAATAGTGATTTTTAAAAAATGGTTCCTGCTTACAGTTTTGCCATATATGATCAGGAATTCTGAACAATTGTCAGGCTTGCAGCTATGCTTTGTCATTTACCTCCAGCCTCACCAACACTGGCTTTAGTGTTCTGTATTACCTTTTGCTACTTTACTAAGTACGGTATATGCATTACCTTATACCAGTAGTTTACAAGTCTTTAGAGAGTACTGGTGCTGTAAATTTCTCATTTTATTTACAGATTTCTTATATGAAAGTTGTCAATACCTCTTTGTACTTTAATTTAAAAGATTTATTTTAACTCCTAATTGTTTCCTCTTGTTTATACTGGAATTTCTATTTCTATCACAATTTTTCATAGAACAGCATTTTGATTTTCTAAATATCTCAATTTTTAAAAACTTATTCTCCATTGAAGTGTCTTTGGAATGAGATGGGATTTAGTTGTCGTTTCAATGTACATTTATTATTTTTTAAATATCCAGAGCAGTGTGTGTCCAATATAAAATTTGAAACATTATGTCCTGGCAGGTGTGGCTCAGTTGATTGGAGTGTTGTCCGGTACACCAAAAAGTGGCAAGTTCAATTCTTGGTCAGGGCATGTACCCAGGTTACAGGTTTGATCCCCAGTGGGAGTCAATTGATCAGTGTTTCTCTCTCTCCCTTCCTCTCTTTCTAAAATCAATTTTAAAAAATTGAAACATTATGAAGATAGAAAATATAATAGTATTAATAAATCCTAAGGAACTGTAGAACACAGTAGTTAGGTCTGTAGACTTAAGAGTCAAACTGCCTGGGCTTAAATTCTAGTTCTATCCATTTCTAGCTATCTAGAATATATTTTTTATATTCTTATGCAAATGTTTTAAGGATATATTCATAGGTATTAAATTCTGGGTTATCAAATCAACACATGTGCTCCTTAAACTTACATAATTTATTTATCAATTACGTCTCAATTAAAAAAAAAAAAAAAAGGCCCTAGCTAGTTTGGCTCAAGGGATAGAAAATGGGCCTGTGAACTGAAGCTTCCCAGGTGTGATTCCGGTGAAGGGCACATGCTCAGGTTGCTGGCTCAATATCCAGTAGGGCACGTGCAGGAGGCAGCCAATCAGTGATTCTCTCTCATCATTGATGTTTCTGTCTCTCTCTCCCTCTTCCTTCCTCTCCAAAATCATTAAAAATGTATTTTTTTTTAAAAGAGAAAGTGATCAAAGTATATGAGCATTGAAAAAAAAATTATATAGTCATTGCCAAATGCTAAGCAACTGTGTTTTAAAAGTACCTTTACCGGAACACCTGAGCCAATACTGTATGGTATCAATGTTTTTTTTTGTTTTGTTTTTTTTAATCAATCTTTATTGTTCATATTATTACAAAGGTTTCTCATTTCTTCCCCCCTCCACCAGGTTCCCACCCCACCCTCTGCCCCCTCCCCATCCCCCATTGTCCTCATCCATAGGTGCAGTTTATGTTCAGTCTCTTCTTCCCTCAATTTCCCCAATAGTAAATCCCTTTTCAGATAGTAAATCAGTTACTTAGCATTTTCTCATATCAATAATACCTCCACATGCCCAATGATACACTTCACACAAAAGACATTTCCCAATAGGTCCACCAGCCTCATCCAGGCCCCACCCAAGGCACTCACAGATCAACACCCCAGTCCTAAACTAACTCAACACATCCAGATCTAAGCCTTCATCACTTGATTCAGCAGACCCTCAAGTTCCCACGAAAGTTTCCAGCCATGTCTGAGAAGCAGCTGTGGGGCAGGGGCAGGCAAGGAGCGAGCTGTTCTGGGCCTGGCTGCTCAGGGCCTGGCCTCTGTTGCTCTGGTTCATTCCACAACCAGCTGCTCCGGGTCTGGTCACTGCTGCTCCCGACCTAGTTGCTCTGGACTTGGCTGCTGCTGCTCCGGGCCTGGCCACTCCCAGCCTGGCAGCCGCTGCTCCGGGCCTGGCCGCACCCGACCCGCCTGCTCCCCCAGGCCTGGCCGCTCCCAGCCTGGCAGCCGCTGCTCCCGGGCCTGGCCGCACCCGACCCGCCTGCTCCCCCGGGCCTGGCCGCTCCCAGCCTGGCAGCCGCTGCTCCGGGCCTGGCCGCACCTGATCCGGCTGCTCTGGGCCCGGCTGCCCCGGGCCCGGCCACTCCGAGCCTGGCCACTCCCGACCTGGATGCTCTGGGCTTGGCTACTGCTGTTCTGGGTCTGGCTGCTCCCACCCCGGTTGCTCTGCGCCCGGCTTCTCCGGGCCCGGCCACTCTGGGTCTGGGTGTTCCTGGACTGGCCACCCTGGGCTTGGCCGCCTCATGCCTGGCTGCCACTGCTCCAGGTCTGGCTACTCCAGTGCTGGCTGTTGATGCTCTGGTTCTGGCTGCTGTTGTTCTGGGGCCTGGCCGTTGCTGCTCCGGGTCTGGTTGCCACTGCCTTGTGCCTGGCCACTCTAGGCCTGGCCGCCGCTGTTCCAACATTCTGTCCTTTTTTTTTTTTCTTTTTTCTTTTTAAAACGCATTTATGTTGCAATGTTGGCTGGTGAGTTGAGTTCTGACTTAGTCTTTGATTTTTCAAGATCTTCTTTGTGTTCTTTCTTAAGTAATTTTACTATTTTTTGCTCTCACTTGATTTCTTCACATTGAGAACTTCTTTGGTTTCTTCCTCCTTGTCCTGGGAGCTCAGCAGGTTGGCCTGTGGCACCCCTTTGTTCTCCGCGGGCTCCTGCGCTGCTTCAGCCTGTTGCCGTGACGGCGCCACCCAGGAAGCAGCCCCCGGCCTTGGCTCCATTGCCCGAGCTCAGTGGTCAAAGGCTCAGGGGCACCCACACCCCCAGGGGCCCCGTGGCCTGCCTCCTTGCTGGTGCCTGGTTGGCTGGCGTCCAGCAGGGGCTTCCGCTCCCCTCCGCGTTCCCCCAGCCTGGAGCTTTTTTTTCTCCTTCCCGCTAGAGAAGTCCAGCATCAGAGTCAACAGACTGTCCTCTGCGCACAGTTTGCGCGAGTCCCGGGGGCCCGGCCTTTCGCCGCTCTCCCCAGACTCTACCTCACAGCCTCGTCTCCCTCTGCCTGAGCCTGGGTCCCCAGGGATTAGCCCAGAACTGGGGTTCGGAGCAGTCCGGACTGAGGCTCAGCGCCGCCGGAGGCCTTGTTTCTTCCGGCTAGGGTAACCCAGCCTCAGAGTCAACATTCAGTCCTCTGCGCGCACTGCGCGCAACTCCCGGGGCCCTGCTTTTCGCCGCTTTTCCGCCTCACAGCCCCGTCTCCTCCCGCCGGAGCCTGGGTCCCCAGGGTCTGGCCCATAACTGGCGCTCAGCGTTGCCGGTTCGGGGGGCTCAGCGCTGCCGGTTCGGGGGGGGGGGGGGGCTCAGCGCTGCCGGTTCGGGGGGTGCTCAGCGCTGCCGGCTCGGGGATTCAGCCCAGGCTGGGGATTTTATTCCCTTCCTGCTAGGGAAGGAAAGGCAGCTCCCCGCCCTCTCCTCTTCTCCGTGCGCGCGTGCGGGCGGGCGCGCAGCATGTCTCCGTACCTTAGGCTTTTTTTCAGCTCCTCTGATTTTCCTTCTGGTTTTCTCTTTCCTTCTTGTTGTAGAAATTTCAGTCAGTCGACTACCTGTAGCTCTGGGCAATGTCCACTCTACATTTTAGTTGTATTCCATTGAAATTGTTGTGTGCTGCCGCGGCTAGATGTCTACCCGAGCAGCCATCTTGGATCCTCGTTATTCCAATGTTTTAATCTTTGACAGTCTAAGAGGTGAAAATATCTTATTGTTTTAATTTGCATTTCTTTAATATCATTCATCTTTTTATAGGTGTTTTTTTGTTGTTGCTTTTTGTTTTTACCTACAGGTTCCTTACACATGTCTTTTTCTCATTTTTCTGTCAGTTGCATATCTTCTTAAAATAACTTTTGCAAATGTTTTATATGGTAAGAAAGAAAGGGGATTTCAATGGATGGAAAATCCCTTTTTGTCATGGGCCCTGAAAACTTAAGCCCACACACTAGTAGAAAAATGCTCCTGCCTTTTAAGACTTAGTGGGTGAACCCAAGGATAGAAAGGGAAGCAGTTGTTTGTAGGTAACTCAGAGTTTAAGAAAAGTTTCCCAACGGACGTTTCCATCAAGGCCTTGAGGTTGGCATTACCTTGGATTTGAGAGAACCACAAATCATTCATAACTCAGGGATGATCCCTTGGGAATTAGGAATATTTCATTCTCAACCAAGTTCTTGGATGTCTAACCTTAAACAGTGTTCTGAATCACCCCTTATATCAATATCAATATCAACTGGCTTTATAAGGACAGAACACTGGTTACAAAAACTTTTTCAATGGAAATAAATCACTGTACTTTCTAGGGCTCCAGGGAAGGAAGTTCTCAGGGGACTGAGAACCTAAACAAAGGAGACAATTCTCATTCGTGAAGGTGAAGCCATGTGGACATAAGATACACAAAGCTAGCAAAACATGGGCACAGCCTCTTGGAATAGCCAACTGACTTCAGCCAGGCACTGTAGACCGCGCTCTCAGGTTTCCTGGGAGTGGAAATTTTTTGAGAAAGACTGCTACGTTTATGGTTTCTGACTTCCCCTCTCTAAAATACTTTTACTCAGAGGGAGGGAAAAAAATGACTCAAGTATATGAATACATATAAAAATTGCTTTTGGTTAAAAAAAAAAATCAGAAGCTAGGGTCCTGTCTTCAAATATAGTCTTCCTCCAAGTGAGACATCCTCCTCATGCCCTCTAACCTTTGAGCTCTCTCCTGAATTCCTGATTTCCACTCACAGCCTGACTCATCCTTTGCTTATAAAACTCAGCCCCAGCTGTACAGAACACTCAGACTAGAAAAGACAGGAAAGCTCTCTTAATCCACCAAAGATGGAGAAAGGGAGGCCCAAAGAAGAAAGAATTGGTTCTGATCTCATTTCCTCACCCAATTGGCCCTCTTCCTCCCTTTGAGTTCCCGAGAAAATGATTCATATCTTGCAACTGCTCTGATGTTCTAATGTTTATGACTTTCTTTGTCCTGAAGTTCTTATTTGTGTCTATTCTCTCTCCTTCAGCTACCATGTGGATGTCAGGTTCCTTCCTTTACAAGTATATTTTTCCTTTCTAAACCATCCTTGGTGTTACAGTTTCCCCTCTCTCTGGAGTTCCTTTCTTTTTTTTCTGGACCCAGGGCACAGCCACATATTGTTCCTTCTCTAGATTGTCTCTCTGGTCTTTTCCCCGCCGCCGCCCCCCCCCCTGGATTCTTGGGCAATTTTATTGACATCCTGATCAACCTGATCAACCTGATGCCACCAACACAAGAGTAGCTCAAAGAGATGAATTTACACGAAGGTGTGGGTCAGTTAGGAGCCCCCGTGCAATGGAGGCCCTGTCTCTGTGATTCACAGCCCCTTCCTAATAAGCATCTGGGCACCATCCAGGAAAGATGGAGAAATGAGATTGCAAATGTCACGTTCTCCCCAGATTTTAACCTTAACCTTGCGGAGGAAGGATTTGTCTGGTGATCTGCTGATGTTCCAAAATGCACTGAGCAATCAATTGCACTGGAAAATTCTTATCTGGATGAAGGTACTTCTGTGAGTCTGACAAAGGGCACTCAGGAGTCATAAAACTATAGTTCTTGTCCTGGCTCTGCCCCTTACAGACCCGTGACCTTGAAGGCACATGCCTCTCTGGACGGCAGTTTCCCCATGTGTAAAATGAGGGCGTTGGGCTAGAGCATTGCTATGGATTCCATCAGCCCCAAATCATGATGATGCTCCATCACCTAAGTCTCACCTGTCCTTCTAACTCTCTGTTATTATATCCCACCCCCTGCTGCCAGTTCCCCATCTTACTGTGCACTCAGGGTGTAAAGAGCCCTCTCTCAGATCAGTGTGTTCTAAGACCACCAGCAGTGGCAGCAGCAGAAAGCCCGGACTGTGTCCTACAGACCGGAAAATAAACCAGGCTGTCAGAATGGATAAGTCTGGGTCCTAACATGGGCCCGAACAGAGTTCATTGCCTACCCTAGATAAGATCAAATTTGGGATATATAAATCTTCTAAGCAAAGGACTATCTGTGGTAAACTGAGGCAAAGAGTGTCAGCTGCCCTTATTTTCCTCTTGGGAGACATGAACTGTTCTCAGGCACGGTAGATAGATACAGGAATGGGCAAAAGTAGGTTTACAGTTGTGAGTATGTGAAACGCAGAGTTTATTCCTGTTGTTTATTAATTTGTAGTTTTCCACATGGAACACCTACTTTTGCCCACCCCTGTAAGTGACATGAACTAACAAAGCAATCTGTGCTATTAAAATTTCTACTAGTGACAGGCACTTAGTCTGCCGCAAGACAGCAAGGCAAGCAGGGATATCCCCTTCCCACATCACCACAAAGTGTCAGAACTGGGGCTGGCCTGGCCGGCGTGGCTTAGTGGTTGAGCACATAAGCCTATGAAACAGGAGGTCATGTTTCAATTCCTGGTCAGTGATTCTTTAATCTCTCTCTCTCTCTCTCTCTCTCTCTCTCTCTCTCTCTCTCTCTCTCCCCCTTTCCCTTCTTCTCTAAAATCAATAAAAATGTTTTTTAATATATTTTTATTGATTTTTCTTACAGAGAGAAAGGGAGAGAGATAGAGAGCTAGAAACGTCGATGAGAGAGAAACATCGACCAGCTGCCTCTTGCACACCACCCACTGGGGATGTGCCCGCAACCAATGTACCTGCCCTTGACCGGAATCGAACCTGGGACCTTTCATTCCGCAGACCGACGCTCTACCGCTGAGCCAAACCGGTTTTGGCTCAATAAAAATATTTTTAATAAAACATTTAAAAATCTGGCAGTCAGTTGGGTCCCAAGTCTTTTCCGGTAGAGAGCCGTCTGGGGAGGCACATGGACATTCTTTTAAAATCTTATCAGCTGAGCCCGAGGGCACTGGCAGAATCCTGGTATCAGTACTGATTTCTTATCTTTATCAATATGCTGGGAATGAGGAACAAATAGGACCTTGATTCACGCAGATCTTGATATGCTAAATCTTGTACCAAAAAATAAGGAGCTTACCCAGATTTTGATGAATAGGACCTGGGCACACCCAAAAGTCCTTTTGACCTTATAATCCCTTTTGGAAATCAATCAATGTGCGGTGTTGTCAGTGGTGAGCGAGACTGTCTCTCTACCAGAGGGCAGGAAGCCATCGGCACCCAGCTTTGAATCTATTTCTGCCTCTTGTCTCTTTCTTTCTCTAATTTTTTAAAAATATATTTTATTGAGTTTTTACAGAGATGAAGAGAGAGGGATAGAGAGTTAGAAACATCGATGAGAGAGAATCATCGATCAGCTGCCTCTTGCACATCCCCCGATGGGGATGTGCCTGCAACCAAGATACATGCCTTTGACTAAAATCGAACCCGGGACCTTTCAGTCCGAAGGTTGATGCTCTATCTACTGAGCCAAACCGGTTTCGGCACTTTCTCTAATTTTTTAACCCCCAGCTCCTCCCCTCAGGAACCTGTCTTTCTTCCTTCCCATGTGGGACTCGGAAAAAGGAGAAACTACATTTTCCTAGGTCTTCTGTCCTCACTGGGCATCCACTTAGCTGGCTAGCCTTCTTTCAAACAACCGGTCCTGTTGTCAGGCCAGGGTGCAGGTGACCAGCCCTGAGTTTTGGCCTGATGGCCCAGGATCCTAACTCGGTGATGGGACTGCTGGTGAGAGACCTCTGAAGCCCTTGTTTCCCTGCACCCCTGGACATTCTGAAGTTCAATAAGGAGCTGTTTCTGGGCAGTTTGCCCATGTTTTCTCACTGTTCCTAGCACTCAGTGGAGTAAGAATGGCTCCCAAATGTGCACTTTGGTACAAGGTCCATCTGCAAAGCTGTAGTCCTGGATCCTTAGATATAATTTGGGGAACAAGCTGACTGTCTCTCCTCCTCCCGGCAGGTGGTGATTGAGTCGGACCTGTACGCTTCCCGGCCCCTGGAGCTGCTGCCACGCCGCAGTGACCACCGAGACTGCGAGGGCCCCAGGTTCAGCCGGCTCCACAGCTCATGGCAGCAGGGACCCCACCCGGCCAAGACTCCTGCCAGACCGGGTATGTGCACTGACCCTGTGCCAGGTACCTCCCTGAGGAACAATGGCTCATTGAGAGCCGCCGCCGTGTCTGCGTCCCAGCTTGTGGTCTGACTGCATTGTAGTACTTAGTACTCCCCAGCGCCCTCGGTCACGCCGGGTGAGCAGAGCACCTGCGGTGTGCGGACAGGCTTTCCCCCACACAGGCTTTCCCGCTCTGAGTGCACCTGCTCTCAGACCCCATCGACAGCAGCCCCACACAACTCCCTTCCACCTGTACAGCTCGCTCTGGTGTGTGTTGTGAGCAAAGATGCTTTCATCTGCCATCCTGCTCCACAGGAAGCCCTGCTGGATTCAGATGAAAGTCTTTGTGTCCTGGGGAGAGAAAGCCAGTGTAGTCATGACTCCTGTAGCAGAAGAAGCCTGCGTTATTTATTTTATAGGCAGTGAGTGTGTCCTTATGCAGGCTCTTCGTCAACCACTGTCTCAAGATCTCACCATCTTACATTTGATCTCACCATCTATACATTACTGAGGCTATTTCAACAATCTATAAAAAAATAAATAAATTCAGGGATAGCCGAGGCTGGTTTGGCTCAGTATATAGAGCGTCGGCCTGAGGACTGAAGGGTCCCGGGTTCGATTCCGGTCAAGGGTATGTACCCAGTGGGGGTTGTGCAGGAGACAACTGATCGATGTTTCTGGCTCTCTATCTCTCTCCCTTCCTCTCTGTAAAAAATCAACAAAATATATTTCAGGAACAAATTTGTTTTGAAAGCTGGAAACAGTATAGTCATACCCTTCACACTGTTTATAAATGGCTTCCCCCTTAAGCAGTCCAATGGGCATCGTCCTCTAGCTCACTGAGGTCTGTGATGGTATTTTGCCTTTACTTGCTGGTTTAGGTTATTTCTGTTATGCCCACAGCCTGCAGTTATTTGTATTTTAACTCCAAAGAGACATAATGGAATGTCTGGGATGTCTTTCTCAAAGCCTTCGCGTGTCAATAATTTTATATGTTGCAAGAACTAAAATAAGACTTAATTGAGTATGTCCCTTCACCTATCCGTCTTCTCTAAGACTTCTTTTATTTAACACCCTGATCTTTTTCTTTTTTTATGATTCCACTATAGAAATGCATTAAGCATCTGTATTCTCTAGTGGAATGATTACATACCTACATATGTCTATAGAATGAAAGCATTCGGAAAACCACAATCTGCCTTGCAAATTAAGAGATCAATTTTTCTCTGGGTCTATATATAGGTGGGTGGTGGGTGGGTGCAGTATGTGTGTAGAAAGAGAAAAAGAATATCTGCACTACAAAATCATAAAGTGAATTTAGAGCCATGTTTCTCAAATTAATGTGCAAAAGAATCACCTGAGAACCTTGTTGTTATGCAAATTCCAATTCTGTAAGGCTGAGTAAGGCCCCAGATTTTATGCTTCTAATGATGCTGAGGATTTTGGCCTGAGGACAATAAATTGATTAGCAAGGGTTTAGAGATGATTTAGTGGATGGTCCTCAAAGTGGGATCTTCAGAACAGCTGAATCATCGGGGAACCTGCTAGAAATGCAAATGCCGGGTCCCACCCTAGAGATTGAATCAGAAATTCTGGGGCGGGGCCCAGAAATCTATGTTTTAACATCAATCCCCTCCCCCAGGCAATGCTAATGTGCACTGAAGGCAGAGAAGCACTGATCTATTGCACCCATCCCTGCCAACTTACAGAAGAGGAAAATGAAACCATGGAAACCGTGTGACCTACCCAAGGTCGCACTTCTCGTTAGCAACGGAACTGAGATTAAACCTCAGATCTCCTCCCCCAGAGAATAATGTCTTCCCAGCTGTCTCGTATTAGGGGACACTTTCCTTCCTTTCTAAGTAGCTTATGGAAGCTTGGACAATCCAAGTCAGTGTTTTATTCAGAAAGAGGAGAACAGTAAGTTGTGAAATGGAGAGAATCTGCCTAACATGTGACACTCAGCTCATGCAGGGAATGTGCTAGTCAGGTTCAGAAGGAAAACACAAGATTGAGCTGGACATTGATTCAACCTTCAGCTTCCGAATCTGATAGATTCTAGAGGGAGTGGGAGAGAGGGAGGGTTTCTGAACCAAAGCCAGACCCAATGCTCTCCACAGGAGGGCTTGGCACCGGCCTCGGGCAAAGACTCTTCGTAAACTACCATCTTAAGATCTGTCAGAGGAGATGAGTCTCCAGGGATCTCAGATCCGGGACTTGTTTCTTTTCTGAGCTACAGTGGAAGCTCCTGGATGTTGCAGCCTTCTCACGTGAGAGCGAGAGTCCCTGAGGAATCTTGGAAATTGCGGGCACTCTGAAGGCAGAGGCCCAGCTGACAAATGCTTTCACCATGAGACCTTGAGCAGGTGAGCCTCAGGAGTCTGGAGAGGGACACCCCACCTCCTGAGCCTGGGAGAACTGGTCAGCTGTGGAACCTCTCCACCACGGTGTCCTGAGGCACCTCAGAGTCAACAGAACTCATCCTCCTTGTTCAAACCTCTCTTCCTTTCTCAGCTGGGGCCACTGTGCATCCTTCCAGCAAGCCACTGGGTGTTTTTCCTAACACTCCTTTCTTTCCCCACCCCATTCTACCCACCACTTCCCACACTGACAGTGTCAGCTCTTAGATATGGCTCATCTCTCCCTTTTGGAACCTCAGGCTACCTGGACTCGGTGTCCCTTCACCATCCCTTGTGTGTAACTTCCAACCCTGACCTTCAGTTCCCCTCCCTCCCAGAGGCTACCAGAAGGGTCCTTCGAAGCCGAAATCTGCTGATGCCATTCCTCTACGTCGAACACTGCATCCTTGCCACCTGCAACCACCCAATACCGTGCCCAAGGCCCTTCAGGACGTGTCCTCTGCTGACCACTGTGTTGTACATGTGAAACTAATACGGAATAATAATGAGTGTAAACTATAATTTTAAAATAGTACATATAAAAGATAACTTTTTTGAAAAAGGAAGAAATTCCTGGCTTTGGTCATTGATGCAGACCCACGGGGGACAGGACAGAGTGCCCTGGGTGACATGTCTTTCATTCACCTTTGCAGTGGGGCCTGCTGAGCCCAAATCATCCAATCTGCGTGGGAGTCGGCCCTATGGAAAGTCTTTGGTGAGTCTCTCAGCCTGGGTGGCTGTGCCTGTGGTGCCCGCTCCGTGCTAAGATGAGAGGCCCGTATCCTTTGGGCCAGTTCTGAGGGTTGTATAGAAAAGCAGGCCGGGGGTTCTTCCTTGCCAGAAATTCAACCCTTAGGAAAACAGAAGGTGTTACCTAGCGTGCATTTCAAACATGGGTGGGGAGGGAGGGAGAGAAACATGTTTATGCTGGCCCCGGCCAGATGGACATGCCTGACTAATTCCCAAGGGCAGCAGCTACATGGGAAAGTGATATGAGAGGGCTCAAGCTTCGTGAAAACTCCGAACACCAGTCATCTCAGGATGGGACGCGATGAGCAGAAGGGACCAATACCTGTGACAGGAGAAGGGTGGCAGGCTCGGGCACTGCCACATGGGCATGACCCCTCCCAGCGGGAGCTCTGGGGCAAGTGTTTCCCATCTGGGTTGTCCCGAGTTAGGTCCACATGGCCAGGGCTTTATGTTTCCTTCTCGCCCTGTCAGAGCATGTGAGGTGCCCCAGGAGGGCATGACCTCAGACGATGTGGCCCTTCTGAGACATACCTGGGGGAGCTGAGAGCCCTCTGTTGCCTGCCCTCCCACATTTTGGAAGCTTGTCCTGTCATGAAGGGGGACCATCGGGTGGCACATGTCCAGGTCTAGTTCAGAGTCACCCTGAAAAAAATACGTCTCCTGCATCTCCCTGTGGGCATGAACATGGGCACCCTCTGGGTAGCACAGTAGGGGGTGAGGTCATGGCCTGTACTTAATGAGTATCAGCCCTCAAGATTCGTGGACTGTGCCATCTGAGGACAAGACATCTGACATTAATTTTTACTTCACAAATGTTTCTTGAGCACTCACCACCTCCTTTAGGAAAGCTGCATAGGGCCACCAAAGGCTTACGTCCCAGGCCCTGCCACATGCTATGTGACCTTTCTGGAGACTAGGAAACTGGACAAACGTATGAAACAAGTAGAGAACCATACAAAGGTAGAACTGGTGGTATGCAGTGCTGTGGGGGGTGTAAGGATCAAGAGCAATCAACATGGGCCACCAGCCAGATGGCAGGCTTCCTGGAGGAAGTGAGCTTGAAGGGCAGGCAGGGATGAGGCTCTGCCCAGAGAGGGAAGGAAAGGCCCAGTGAAGATGAGTAGTTGGGGGTGAGCATTGGGGAAGGCAGGAGTGGCCCTGCTGGGACTGGAACTGCTGACACCCATGGGGTTGACAGAAGGCGGAGCTGGGAAGTAACAGAAGGTGAAGCTGCATAGATGAGGTGGAGCCCTGAAGATCAGGTGCAGCGTTTGCCTCAGTCTACCCCGCCGTGGGAGGCCCTGCAAATCCAGGAAAGGTCTGGGGGATGGTTGGAAACAAGGAGGCCCCAAGGTGATTGGCCCTGAAGGCTACAGCAGAGGAGATGGAAAGGATGGCGGGAATCTGGGCCGTACTTCAAAGCAAGAACCTGCAGGAGTTGACAACAATGGGAGCCTGAGAATAGAGTTATCAGGTAAAAAATGAATTGCTCTTGCTCAAGTGTCTTCTCAAATTGGGGTCCTGGGACTAATAGCACCTAGGAACTTGTTAGAAACGCACATGCTCAAGCCCTCATCACACCTACTAGACCGCTACCCGGGTGGGCCTGGCATGGTGCTCACAAGCCCTTCAGGGGAGTCTGTTGCCCACCCGAGTGTAAGGACTACTGCCCTGGGTTCGAGGTGGTTCCATGTAGCCATTCATTCCCCTTTCAGTGGCTTCGGTCTTGCCGGAGTTGGGACCATGGCTACATCCTCACATTCTCTTCCCCTTCCTCACAACCCAGATGCCTCCAGTGGCCCGGATCTCAGTGAAGGCCCCCACAGCTGTCCTGGAGGCGGCCGCTCCCAGCGGCTCCGACTACAGAGCTGTTCGGACAAGAGGGTAAGTGCCGCGCCTCCCAGCCCGCTGCCCGCAGGGCCCTGCAGCAGTAGAGGAACAGGTGGCCTGACTGACAGACTCTCGAGATGCTGACACGAAACCCATGCCAGCTGCACATGTCCTCTTAATGAGGACAATAACCCTGGGTAACTGTTTCTCCAGGATGAAGGCGAAGCCTGTTTGATGGTTTCCACTTCATTAACGCCAGTCTTTAGGCTTGGAGAACTGTCATTTGGAGGATTAGGGGTTAATTAGATAAATGTAATCACAGGCCATATTCAGAGCCTCTCCTAGGCAGGCTGAGGTCAGAAATGCCTCCTGAGTTGGGTTCATGGCCCTTGTTCAAAGGTAAAAAAAAAAAGTACATAAGGTCAAAGGTTTCTAACCAAATTTATCACCCCCGTGTTACTGGTACCTGTAATCCAGGGGCCAGCAGAGCGCTATATATTTACTTCGTAGGGCAAATATCCGATCCAGAGTATATTCAATTGTACACTAAGAAGGTGGTGGGCAGGAGCCTTACACTCAGTTCACCTTGTCCATTTGTGTCCTTACCACCATCCTCCATGCTGCAGGTGGCAGTCAAGTGCTTCCGCTTGCCTGGCACGCCCCTGCCTTGCTGTGACTTCAGGCAAGTTATTCAAACCTGCATGTCCTCATTTATTTTTTTAAAAAAAAATTTTTTTAAAGGCAAACAAAATCTGGGGATGTACCCCTCTGGAAGAGTATTGAGAGAATTGAATGAGATAATGTTAAAGAGCTTAGCATAAACCATTGCTTTCATTTTTTTCAAGAGACTTACAATTTAGGAGTTGGAAAGGCACATACTCGGGACCGTGTTAGAGGCAGATGTGTGGGGGGCCATGGACTAAGATATCAACCCAGTGGAGCACACCTTGAACGCTGTGGGAGTCCATGGGGAAACAGGCCAATTCAAAACCCTTCTAGATGAAAGAAAGCCATCCAAGGAGAATTATAAAAACCAAGTCACTCAACCTATTGGGACCTGAGTGTTGAAAACTGAGACAATTATTTGGATTGTGTAAGTCCTAGAAGCAAATTGTTCTCAACAACAATGGCTTTTGGTGGCTGCTGGAGCCAACCAGTAAAAAATTACTACAATTGCAACAGAGGCAACCTTACCAACCCACAGAGCTGCCCTGCAAAGGTTCTAAACGGATTCTTTTCTCCAAGCTCAGACATTCTCATCGCAATTTGCTCCTGGGCCCTGGCTATTGACAAGTAAGGCCATTTCTTTCTCAGAAGGAAAGAAAGTGAGGAGGAAACATTATGGAGGCCTACACACTTCAGATGGTTTATTTTCTCATTTTCCTCCTCACAAAAGCCCCAGGAGTTAGATGAAATCATCCCCACTTTGCGCATGAGGACACTGAGGCTGGTTGAGGTTAAATCACTTGCCTGACATCACACAGTACCTAGGGGGAGGTGGGGGGGGGGGGCAGAATTCAACCCAATAGCCAATGCTCTGGGAAACCCACTCAGCAAAATCATTCATGTGGAGATGTGGTGGGGAGGGGGGTGATGAGAGCAAGTGGCACTTGGGATAAGAGCAGAACTTGATGCCCATAAACCAGCATAGCCAAGGCCACCTCCTCCCCTCATCCTATTGGAGGATTCCCCAGGGGATGTCATTTCTACATGGGGCCCAACAACGACCCTCCCTCCAGGTCACAGGATGTATGAGCAGAGGAGGAATAAGAGCTCAGGCTACCTTATGCTTCTTCAGAGCAACCCGTGGAAGTCTGGCTCAGGGAAGTGACTGTCCTTCCCACACCTCCTGGCTTTTCTTTAGATCCAGGCATCTCAAGAAGATGACTGAAGAGTACCCAACCCTTCCCCAGGGAGCAGAAGCCTCCCTGCCGCTGACAGGAAGTGTGTCCTGCGGCATCCCCAGCATCCTCCGGAAAATGTGGGTGAGGCATAAGAAGAAGGCTGAGTACGTGGGAGCGACCAACAGCGCCTTTGAGGCCGACTAAAGGCGACCTTCCCACGTGCAAAACAAAGGTCACTGCACGGAGGGAGAATGCTGGATTGGAATGGAGCCTCTGCGCTAAAAATGAACACATTTACCTCTGCAAGTACCTGGTACAAACACATCCTATCACCCTCCCTCACTACCCAATCCCCCAGCCTAGGATGCATAAAAGGAACTTCCCTCAAAGGTAAAAAGTTAAAAAAAAATTTTTAAAAAAAAGGCCATTCCTTCTTAGAATTGCTTAAGCCCCTGGTCTGACAGTGACTTTGGAAGATCATAAGCTTATATCTCCATGTTTAAGCAAAACCACACCAAAATAAAATTGTCCCAACCCATTTTAAAGACCTCCAAGGAAAGAAGCAGGTGATTCTTCTTTCTTCCTTGTGAGTCATTCTAATACGTGTGATTTCTGTGTAAATGTAAGAGCTTGGTGTTTGCGGCACCTGTAAACATGATGGTTCTTACTCTTTCTGGCGTCATATTTATTTCCTCTTGACGAGGAAGGCTTTTCCATGACGGATCACTATATATTTACTTCGTAGGGCAAATACCTGATTCAGAGTATCATCAACGTGGGTTTTGAGGATCATTCGGCATGATTGCATGAATTCTCTGTTCTTTTATGTGCAGTTTTTCAATAGAAAAAAAAACAATTAAAAATCAAATGTTGAGTGCTGATGTTTCCTGAAATGGCATAGTCTAGTGGAATTAACAATACCTTGCTTTGGTAGAATGATTTCAGCAGGTGATTTAAACTGACCCCATCAATCACAGAGTATCCTAAGACTATTTATGTTAACGTATTTACTTTACAGCTGATGTCCTCTATTTGTATGTGGCAGCTGGAGATGTCTGTAGGATGGAAGTAACTTATTTATTTTTTACTTTAAATATTTCATGGTGAAGTGTTTACCGTGTACAGAACATTTTTATTGGCCAATTCAAATAAAAATAAAATGTGCTTTGTTTGTGACATGAATAAACCACCGCAAGAGTGTGCCTGAGGCTCGCTCCCTCCTTGCATGAGAGAGAAGATTTTCCCACATGGACAGAATCATACATCTGGACCTCATTGTTCCTTTACCTACGGCTATAGCTGGTTCTGATATTACAGGCCCTGCCCAGCACTCAACACGAGGACCATTTCTGATGGGGCCTGCTCTGGCCTGGCCTGTCCTCTCTGAGTTCATCCTCCTTCCGGCTGTTGCTGATCCCTTCCTCCCCACCACAAGCCTCAGGGGGCCCCCGTGGCCATCCCCAGCCTGGCCTCCTGGTCAGGGGAAGATGCAGTCTTCCCTCTGTGCTCACCTCTTGGCCAGCCTCCCCAGAGATGGCTCACTATGACTCATGTCACAGCCACTTGCAGAAAGTGCCAGGGCTAGCTACAGAGGGCCATCTGAGAATGCCGGAGCCTGGAGTCTCCTAGCACCAGAAGCAACAGGGTTTCCAGGACATGTAGGGTAATAAAATCGCCTCTGTGAGGACCATGTTCAGTCAAATATTTCAGTTCTTACTTGAGCGCTCTCTGTGGCAGCCCCCACTCCCCCGCCCGGTACTTGGTTGCCGTTAGAGCAGGCAGATGGGCAGTGGGTAGGAAAAGCAGCAGCAGCAGCAGCCAGAGCCCAATTTTAAAAGGAACCATGTGACACCTTGACTTCAAATTGGCAGGGACTGAGGGACAAGCAAGGAAAAACATAGACAAAAAAGATGAATCTCCTCAGGATGCGAATTGCATTTCGTTTTTAATTTCTTATAAGAATGTCAGCCTCTGTTGAGAGGTTTTTGGAAAATGCATCATTACAGGGCCTGGGGAGAGAGATCTCATTCTTCAGACAAGGCCATGTGCCTAGAAAAAGAAAGAAAGAAAGAAAAAAGGATGGAGGGGAGGAGGGGGACTACTTTAAACCTGAAATGAGATTCATATCTATTAATATTCTTTGTTGGGAGGGGTCAGATAGGTTGGGGAAGGTGTGTGCGGCCCAGGGAGTGGATGCAGAAGGAATGTAATGTGCCACACGACCACTGGCAGGGCAGCTGGCCTGTGCCGACCTGACTCCTTGCCCTGTCGGGGGGCTGTGGAGAAGCCAAGGAGAGAAGCTCTTCCTTTCCCACACCCCTCACTCCAGGAGACCTCGGGAGTCCCCAGCTGGCCCCTCAGAGCACAGGTTGCATGAAGCTAAACTCCTTCCCTAGGAGGCAAGCAGCCAGGCCTTTGCCGGTTGCATGAAGAGGGGCCTGTGCTTTTCCAGGAAGGGCAGGGGACCTGGATCCTGCCCAGCCCCAAAGAGGGAGGGGCAGCCGGGACTCTGGCCAAGTGCTGAGCAACGTTCCGGACTCCAGCCACAGCAAAGCACACTGCGTTTTCTGCTCTCTGAGCATCTGGGCCCGGGCCCTCTTCGGGGAGAGGTCTCGCTTCAAATCAGCCAGCGTTTGCTCACATCAGACTCTGTGCAGAGCTCAGGATTCTGCCCAGCCTGGCAGTGCTCCCCGGAAGTAAATGTCCTCCTTGAAGAAGACAGAAAACGGCCCCCACAGGGGGTCCTGCCGGATCCCACTCGCTGGTGCCATACACAAGCACACCTGGACACGAAGGCTGGTGGGGTGAGCACCAGACTCAAGGCAGGAAGCCAACTTTCTAAGTCTCAGCCCCACACCGACTTGCAGGCTTGCCGTGTGTGTGTGTGTGTGTGTGTGTGTGTGTGTGTGTGTGTGTGTGTGTGTGTGAGAGAGAGAGAGAGAGAGAGAGAGAGAGAGAGAGAGCGCCTCCATTGTCCCTCCTCTGTGAGTCATGGGTTAAAGGACCTGCCCTTGGACCTCCCAGGCCGATGTAAGATCAGAAGAGAAGCTGGTGCATAAAAGGACTTTATAAATTGTGAATTGCTTTCCTAAATATGGTGTTATGATAATCCCCTCCATTCAGAAAGAAGCCGGGCTGGGCGTGGGGAGAAGTAGCTCAGGAAGCTCAGCAGGAGCGGGGGCTGAAGAGGGAGTCAGAGGCTGGAAATAGAATCGTTCCAAAGCCCTGGGCCAGCATCCCCAGCCAGTGCTCGCGGGTGGCTGGCAGACAGTGGCGCCTGGCTGGCAGGGCCCCAGGCTACCTGCTCCCCGAGGTGTGTGTGGGGGGGTGGGGGGGATGTCAGAGCCTGAAGCCTGAGGCAGCCCAGCCGCACTGCAGGCCAGGTCCACACAGCCAACGACCCTAGCTCACAGGCAGGAAGTGGAGGGCGGTGACCATCCTTGGACTTCACTGTGGATTCAACGGCTCACTCTCTCCAGGAGCTGCCTGATCGCTGCCAAATGTGGCCCTGGCCTCCTGCCTGCACTCCCTACCAGCAAAATTAGCCCTCAGATGAAGCCTACCAAGTAGGCTGGCCCAGGGGGCCACTGGCCCTGCCACATCCCTGGGGCCTGGGAAGGAAGCTGGCCTCTAGCTCTGAGGCCAACAACAGACACCTGCACCCACAGGACTGAAGCCCGAAGACCTTGGGGAGGTCAGGCTTTAGAGGCAAGCGGGCCGGCTCGGGCGTAACTAGGCAGGGAGTTGCTGTTTCACAAACAAACACCATTCCAAGGCATTCCTGCTGCTTGCTCAGGCCAAGGGACAGTGACCTCATCAGGAAAGCAGGCTTCCAGTCTCTCACACAAACCCCGCCGTCCCCAACAACCCAGGAGACCCGGTGGGTCATGAACAACCCCAGAGCCACATGCCCTGCAGAAGGAGCAGGTGGCAGGCTCAGGAGCAGGCTGGGAGCCGGGATGAAGCTGTTAGCCTGCTCTCTAGCGGAACCACCATCCCGGGAGGCAGGGTCTGGGATGGGGAGATTTTCAGCCTTGGGCCCTGCCTTCTTGTCACGATATAAAGAAACCGGAACAAAGCCAAGGTCATGGCTCTCTGGGGTCCTGGCCGGGCTCTGGACGCCAGCATGGTGCCTCAGCAGCATGGGGAGCTGGGAGCTCGTGGGAAATGGCTCAGCTTGGTCCTGCTTCATTTCCCCTCATCGCTGCTTTGTTCTGCGCCAGGATGTGGTGAGAGGTGCAGATCGGGGAAGGAGGAGAGAGTCGGAGGAGAAGGGAGGCCTGGTGTTCGGGCTGTTCGTTCCCTGCTCCTCCGGCCGGAAAAGAAGCAGAAAGCCACTCCCAGACTTTGAAACTGGATAAACACCCCGAGGTGCCCAGAACTGTGTGCCAGGAGCTACCTGAAGCCACAGGCTAACTCCACACCCAGCCGGGGCGTGGGAGACTTCTTTACGGTAAAGTAAATGCAGCTGGATTAGGCGGAGCAAACATGCATTGGGTGTTTACCAAGTGTCGGACACTGTGCTTAAAGGGCTTTAGCTCATGCAGAAATGTCAGTTACATCTCAATAAAACTAGAAAAAAAATAAAATAAAATAGCCAAGAAAACAATTTAAAAATGTTTTAAATTATCACTATAAAATTAAAAATAGCATTAATAAACTTTTATTACTTTAGTTATTAAGGTCAAAAAAGGTTGATAAAATATAGGTTACTGGGGGAAAAACAAATATATAGGCAACTGACTTTTAAATGGTTCAGGCGGGGAAAAAAAGATGCTCTTTGCACTATGCTTTCAATTTCTCAGTAAGTTTGGGATTATTTCAAAAAGTAGTTTAATTTAAAAGAAACACACACACGCACACGCACACATGCATACACGTGTGCACAAACAACATGAACCTTGAAAGAAAATTCTTAGGTTGGAGATCCCCAGGACATGCCTGGGAATAGCAGGTACTCTGAGCCCCCAGCCCGGACCCGGGCTGCTCATACCAGTGCCAGCAGAAAGGTCACACAGGGAGCAGGGTCATGGACTTTGGATTCTCCATCACCTTCATACTCACACCACCTCGCCCTACCCACCACTCCTAGAGCAAAAGTGCATCGAGGTTTCATCACTTTATTGATTGAAATAGGGAAATCATTATAAAGCAGAAATGGTTCTTGTCCTCGGGGTTCCCTCTCCACAGGCCGGAGGTTTTCT